TCAACAAAAACAAAAAAGGAGGGTTGAAGGGAGGACTTAGGTGGAAACTCCCCATGCTTATTTACAAACAAAACATTTAGCTGAGTGTTGTACATTTCATGCAATGTGTCTACAGTTTCTTTAGTGCACAATGGGCAGCATGCAAAATCTTAAGAGATTTCAGCAGGGGATAGTTGAGCTCAAGCTATTTAGGTCTTTGTAAATCAAAATCAAGAGCCAGTGTGGGGTAGTGGTTTGATCATTGGATTATAACTCTGGTGACTAAGGTTCAATTTCTTGCTCACTGGTTGACTTTGGGTAAGTCACACACTCGCAGTCCTAGAAAACCCTAAGACAGGTTTGTTTTGGCTTGCCATAAGTCCAAAACAACTTGAAGGCATACAACAACAACAACAACAACAAATTGCACATTGAAAACAATGGACAGACAATCACTGGAGGTTAATGCTGTTCTAGTATGGTGTGTTCATCCTCAGCACAAAAAAGACAAATTCTGAACTCACAAAGTAACATCTAGGTCCATGTTGGTGAACCTCAAAGCCATTTTGGAGGGCACACAGAGACATAGGAGGGCAGGGAAAGAGGAGGAGTATGAGTGTGTCTCCTGTCACCTCAACTGCCTCTCCAGACACAGGTAAAGGCATGGGATGGTGAGGAAGAGGAGGAACAGGCATGTGCCTATTCTTCCTCTCCCCCACCCCATCCTCCTGGGCCTTCAGCTGCCTCTCTCCCACGCCTTCAGCAGTATCCAGAGAGGCATTTGAGGGCCCAGGTGGGAGGAAGAAAAGGTCCCACACCCAGAAGGCAGATATCCTGCTCTCCTGGAATCCTCTCCAGGAGTCCCACCCTTAGCACCAGGTAACAGCAGGTGGGAGAACACCTTTAATTTTTGGCACTCAGTGTCTAAAAGGTTGCACATCAGGGGTAGGCAACCTAAGGCCCGGGGGCCAGATGCAGCCCCCTGAGGCCTTTGGACCAGCCCCAGGCCGGTCCTGCCACCGCCGCTGCCGCTGCCGCTGCCGCCGCCCCCTGCCGCTCCCTGCCGCCATGATGATATTGATTATTGTTGTTATTACTTGTTCTTGGGGTTTTCTTGGCAAAATCTCCACAGGGGTTTTGCCATGGCTTTTCTGGGGCTGAGAGAGTGTGCATGCATATTTTTTTTTAAAAAAAATTGATTTTATTTATTTATTTATTTATTTATGGTGCTTTGCCCCCCCCCCCCCCCCCCATTGTCTGAGGGACTGCAACCCGGCCCCCGGCTCAAAAAGGTTGCCTACCCCTGTTCTACGTTAATGGCATCCTAGTTTAAGCTGGCAACATTTATGTGTGTTTCAGAGAAAGATGAGCTACAAATCATCTGTATGAGGTAAAAATGCACACTGTTGTCACATACCTCATAGAGGTCTATCATCACATTGCCCTCTAGATCTTGGCTACTCTTGACATTTTCCAAAGCCAGGGTGAAGTAGACCCCTCGGGTATCAGAGATGTAAAGGTTGTATGTATCATTCTGGTTCCATTCCTGAACTGCAGCAAACACTTGGTTCTCATCCGTGCTGATAACGTGCATGTCCTGAAAGAGAAAGCACAAGGAACCATTACTGTCAGGAATCTCACTTGCCTCTGCTCCAAGGGCAAGGCAGGGTAATCCTCTTGGAGCAAAGCATAGTGTCATTACAGAGTCTAATCAGAAAGCAAAGCTAATCTATTTTACGTGTGCACATGCATATTTTACACATTATCTTTTCAGCAAATATATGCAGAGCAATAATGAATTGCGGACACATTAAGTGAACATTTACACTAGTGATAGTATTGTACAGTAGCAATAGAAGATGAGTGTTTGTTAAAGGGAATGTAGAATATTAATTCTTTTTTGTCCTTCAACAGTGTGAGAAAATTCTACAGTTAGGAACAACTAGCTATGTATGGTAGAAATGTGTGGGGGAGGGAACCATCCAGGAACACAGGGAATTGAATAAGTTAAGTATTTATCCCTATAAACTTCACATTGTAAAGTTTCAAACTGAAACCTAGATATATAGGAAAAGGCACCATGCATGTTGAATGAAAATGGCAGGTAGCTATGACATCTATATGTTGTACTTTATTAAGATGGGTGTGAAGTTTCCTTAATGTTTTCTTTTGAAGTTCTTTACTATGAAGATAAACTTGCCAGTCTAAACAATCACATTTATATTTGAAACTATAGCTAGATATTGCTTATGATAATTCCACCATGTTATTTCTAATCATTTGCCATACTGCAGCTTGTAAAAATTCTAAAACTCTTGTAGGAATCTCCTACAACTTTTGTAGAAATCCTCAACTTTTTGGTGTCTTCCAGAACATAAACCTAACATCACTATTTCTAATTAACAGATATCTGCATTTTTATATAGGTAGCCTTAGCTCATTTTTTTTTTCTAGCAGATATGTAATTATGTTATTGTTAATGCAATCTAAAGAACTGAAAAATAAATCAGTACTAGCTATAGAGAATACATGTCTTTCCACAGAGCAATGCAAAAGAAAATGACATGTACTAAAGAAAGAAAACTCTTGGGCTCAAACAGACAGCAATATAGGGGCATCATGATGCTGCCCCTTTGATCTATGGATTGGGGCCATGGCAATCACATGCCACAGCCCAAATCTTGCATTTCCACAGCCCTCTTCTGCTCCTTTTTGTGCCGGAAAAAAGCCACCCTTTCTGCCACCGCTGTGGCTTTTCTGCACTCCTGTGGCATGCAGCGTCTAAATGCCATGCCGTCATAGCACCAAAAAGCTGCCCACCATCTAGTCAGGTGGGCGGCATGACGCTGGCTTGGAGGCAGTGTCAGGGCGTGCATCATCCAAATGCCATGTCCCCATGCCACCCCCCCAAGCCGATGTATGCTGCCGGTCTGTTTTGCCAGGTTGGTTTTTTTTAAATCAACATTTAGTAATATAATTTAGATATCTAAAATATCTAAATTTCTGGGCCCAGTATAAGGTGTTGGTTGTCACCTTTAAAGCCCCAAATGGCTTGGGTCCAAACTATCTCCGGGACCACCTTCTCCCCTAAAATCCTCCCCGCACACTCCAGTCCTGTGGGAGGAATTTGCTCCAGCCATTGAAATCTAGGCTCTCGGCTACCTCCCAGAGGGCATTTTCAGCTGTGGCCCCTAGATTATGGAACGGCCTGCCGGACAAGACCCATCTGATTACAATGCTGAACACTGTCAAGACAGATCTCTTCTGGCAGCACTTTCCAGATTAGACGTCCTGGCCTCAGGAAATCCTCAAGATACCTCCATAGAGAATATTCCATAGAGAATAAGAATTCTCGCCATTACTCCTTGCCATATTTTTGTTGTTTTATAATGCTTTTATTAATATGATGTTTTTAATTGATTGCTTGATTTAATATCTTTTTACGGGGACAGGTATGGGGTGTATATTTTATATCAGAGGTAGGCAACCTTTCCCCTTTAAGGACCAAGGGACTTCAGCTCCCAGAATCCCAGGAGCTATTGGCCAACATGGGTCTATTGGCCAACAATGCTGAGGCTTCTGGGAGCTAAAGTCCCTTGGCCCTTAAAGGGGAAAGGTTGCCTACCCCTGTTTTATATGTTGTAATTTTATTATCTGTAAGCCACCTTGATTGGTTTCAGAGGGGCGGGGTATCAAATAAAATTATTATTATTATTATTATTATTATTATTATTATTATTATTACATCTAGTTAAAGTTGTTTGTTGTCTTACATACACAAAAAAGATGACAAATTAGATTTACAATCATATCATAACAAATATATCTTAGTCTTTCTTAATCATGTTTTTTCATCATTCTTCTATTTCTTCTTCTGTCTCTTCATCTTCTTCTTTTGTTTCTGTTCTTCTTCTCTTTTTATTCTTCTATCTGATTATCCCTACTATTCCTTAGAATTAAACTTAAAAGTGACTTCTGCACCAGGTTTGTCCCTGTTTTAGTTGGCCCCTCCTATCTACTTCTCTCAATATCAGTATCTTTGTCTTTCCTTTATTTAGCTTCATTCTAACATTAATAATTTGGTATATCCCAAAAGCTTTTTTCCCCCCCATTAACCTCATCATTTTTTTTCTTTTTAATTGTTTATCTTAATTTTATGTGTATGTGTGATTAATCATAACTAACTCTGGCTTATTTTTTTTAATTTTCCAAACAAATTGTTGCTTTCTTTCCCCATTTGTTTTCCCAAAGTGGTGTTAACTTTTTCCAATCCATCTTCCTTTCCATAATTGATTTTCTCTTTATCAAATGGGTTAAGATATCCATTTCATAGAGCTCGTAGAGTTTCAATAACCATTCTTCTATTTGTAACTCCCTAGTTGATTTCCAATTCTTGGCTATCACTAGCCTCGCAGCCATTATCATATTTAATAATATTTTCCAATTTTTTGTCTCATTTATTTTCCTTATACTGCTAAGAATATTTAGTAAATATATTTCTGGTTTCATGGAGTAATTAATACCTAGTGTTTTTTGTTATCAATTGATGAATTTTGTTCCAAAAATTCTTAATTGGCTTGCAGTGCCACCACATATGAAATAGAGGTCCTTTATTTTGCTTACATCTCCAACAATTTGTAGATATTTTTTTTTTGAGATTTTAGCCATTTTTTCCGGTGTCATGTACCATCTTAAATATATCTTATAATAGTTTCCATTTAGGATATTACTATTTGAGAATTTTATGTATTTAGTCCATGCTTTTCCCCAATCATCCAATTGAATTGTGCTTCCTATATTCTGGGACCATGCCACCATCTGTGGTTTTATCACTTCTTGTTCCATCTCAAGTTTCAATATTATTTTATAAATTTTAGAAAGTGTTTTACCTTTATTTGATTTAATAATGTCATCAAATTCTCCTGTTTTTTCAAATCCTAAAATTTTTGAATCCTTTTTAAATCTTTCTGTTAGTTGTCTATATGGGAACCAGTTACAAGTTATTTTCTTCTCTGCAAGACCCTCTCTTGTCATTAATTGCCATTTATCCTCTTTGTATTCTATTAAGTCTTTATAGGTTACCCATCCTTTTTCTACTAACTTATCTCTCTTTATAAAGGCTTCATGGGGCAAGACCCATAACAGTATTTTCTGATATAATTTATTCTTGTAATTTAACCAGGTTTGTAAGATAGGTTTTATTATATAGTGGTTTTTAAAATCTTTGTGAATCTTGTCCTTACCGTACCACATATAGGCATGGAGGCCAAATTGTGCATTAAAACTTCTAGATTCAATAATTTCACATTT